GCACTTTCAACCATATGTTTTCGAATCGGAAGGGAACACGCACCCCCACCCTANTTCAACCACATGTTTTCGAATCGGAAGGGAGCACGCACCCCCTCCCTCTGCATCCATCTAGCACATTCGGCACCAGCTCATCCATGAGGAAGATGTCAGGAATCTATCAATTCTAGACCTTGAGTTGGAATCCTCCGCCCTGGCCCAAGTAAACCTTTCCCCTGACAGAGGAAGGTCAATGAGAAAGTTATCATTGATGAAGTCATAAAACTCCTCCATGGCCCTCGAAATCACACTACCCCCTAATCTCTCCTCCGGGAATCTAATAGTGTTAAAGTCTCCCCCTAGAACCCATGGAATGTCCCATTCCCCCATAATATTGGCCAGTTCCTTCTAGAAAGACACCTTGGACCCTTCCCCTACCGGCCCATACACTCCCCCAAATCCCCACTCCACCCCACTCACTCTATCTTTGACGAGAGCTGCCAAAGAGAAAACTCCCTTCCTAATCTCATTTACCTCCAAGCTTCTATCATCCCACATAAGTAGGATGCCCCCGACACTTCCCACTGCTGGGACCCAGTCATATTTCACCTAGCTACCTCCCCAGACACTTCTCATGATCGCATCCGACAAAACTTCCATTTTGGTCTCCTGAAAACAAACTAGGTTGGCACCCCACTCCCTAACTCCCACTTTGATGATGGCCCTTTTGTTTGGGTCATTCATCCCCCTCACATTCCATGAAAGGATCTTAACTTCCAAAAGCAACAATAGCCCCCATTTCCCCACCCCCCTAGCCGAGGTCCCTTTCTGTCTGTCACACACTCTCCCCCTTCTCTGATACACCACTACATCCCCTAAGTTATTTTGCTTAACACCTTTACCCAACTCCCTCCCTGCACCATCGTAAAGAGATTGTTGCTCAATCTCCCTCAACAGTTCTAACACCCTATCTTCCTTCCCTTCAACAGAAACACCTAAAAACTTCCCAAAGTTTAATAGTTTATCCTCCATCCAAAAAGACATATCCCCTCCTCCGATCTTTGACGAAATTGGGCAGGCTTCTTCTATATATGCCCTTTCCTTGCTACTACCAGAGGAATACAAGACCATAGCATTTCTAGCACTAGGAGTTTTAACCTCCGAAAGGGTCTCACCGTTTCCTTGGGGGTTAGCAACCTCTAAAATTAACACCCCGTTGCTATAGGAATGTCCAGAACCATAAGTAGGGTAGCATGGCGGAAGAGAGCACGGAACCCTTGGCAGCATATTAACTGAAAATACTGGTCCGACACTAATATCAATTGGGGCATGCTCAACAATCTCCCTAGAAGAAGAAGAAGCTTTAAGTGTGGTCTCAGCACAACTAAGCCCAGGAGCAGGTGAGGGATTGATGGAACCGGGTCCATCAGAGTCGGGGGCCGTGGATTAACAGCACCATCCTTAGCCGGTTCTGCCCCTGCAGCAGCGGCCATCGTAGAGGGGCACATGTCACTAGAGCTCGGTGAAGGAGTGCCACTGTGTGAAGCACCTTGTCCAGAGGAAGAAGGAACGACTGTTCCCATATGCTTAGGAGCCTTATCATGCGTAGCTTGAAATAAACTGGGCCCCTTAGGGTCAATTCTAATGGAATTGGGAAAAGTTGCTGGGCCCATGTGAGGAGGCCCAGGCCTATACTTGCTGAAAATATGCCCGGCCCTGTGATAAGTAGAAAAGGACCGTCCCATTCAGCCTTTCCAGCCCGCCTCACTGACCCATTCACGTCTTCTTCTCCTGTTAAAATTTTGTATTCCTCCTCCAATTTCAAACCTCCCGTCTCTTCTCGATCTAACGTTTGATTCCGGCTTAATCCAGTGATCCGGCGAACCCTCCCCTCCCCTCAGAGACTGATTCCCCCCCCCCCCTATCTGACCTTCCCTTTTCTTCCGTCGCTATCACAGGCATAAAGATGGGGCGAAATTCAGGGCTTAACCAAACCCTATAACTCAAGTAGCCATCTTCCACCACAGTGGAGACAGGGATTCTGCCCCCTTTCCTCGCCACAATCCTCACTCACGAGAGATCGTGTAAACTGCAAATGACATCAATAAAAACCCCATAGATTTCCCTATCTTCTTGAATAGGTCAAGACACCAAAGATGCACCGGGAGACCCACCATGTTGACCACCAATGTTTCGCCAGTGAAGCGAGGGTTAAGACACCCATCATGCTCCATCCATCTGTCTAGATTTAAAAAGTTCCCATCGAACCACCTGTTTCCTCTGACAAGAATTTCCGAAGCTTGAGACTTGTCAACAAAACGAAAGAGATATTGAGTGTCCCCCAATTGCGATATTTTCAGCCCGTCCTTGACGTTTCATGCCTCTGCTGCCCAGTTCCTAACAGCCTCCGGAGAACCAACCCATTTGGAGAAAGACCCAACGAGACTAGATTCCAAGAAACCCTTGCGCCTGAGAGTGTGCTCCTCGGACAGCGTGAAGTGCGGCTCTTGTCCTACGTCGAGCTTTCGATGGCATCTTCCCCCAAGTTCTAGGGCTGGCCAAGAGACAGCTTTCATAAAAGACATGTTTTCCAGTTTTCTAGATTCTAGAGAGAAAAAAGAGCTTCTCTCTGTACAATCCATCATATTCTAAATGCGGCTGTCCCGAAAAAACTAGCCGGAAAAAGCCTCAATAGTCGGGATAACAGTATTCACAGTGGGTGAAAACAGTATATATGAAGGGAGGAAGGTTTTCTCGTACTGAACAAAGGAAACAATCGTCAGAAACTGGGGTTTAAAGGCCGGAAAAATAAAGTCGTCGGAATTTGGTGAAACTGGCACGGGATGGCTCGGAAATGCCTCGAGAAGAGGCTGTCTGAAGAAAAAAATTTGAAAAGTCGCCGGAAAAGGCCACACGCGCCGGCGCGTGGCTGAAATCTCGCCGGAAAGACAGGCGTGTTGGCGGCGCGTGAGAGCACAGTTGCCGGAGAAATTTACTGGGGTTTGGACGCGCGGAGCTTGGCTCTTGATGGGTGTGGTGAAAAATTAGAAAGAAGAAGAGATGGAAGAGGCTCGGCCATAGGAAGCACTGTTGCGATTAGGGCACTGTTAACCATATTATAGCTTGCTACATATATTTGAACTAATATTAGAAGTGAGTGTGGAGATAGGGTAATTTGTTGCAAAGATCCGACATCAAAGGCAAATCGGAATCACTTCGAATTTTTTCAGATGCAGAACTGTCGCCAAGTGGCATTATTCTATTGCTCAAGTCTAACCACCTAACGGATAAATACATGAAATAATTATTTACAATGTATAAACAGCTGTAAAGAATCTTCTAGTACTGGGCTCAACAATGCTCTACACAAAATAAATCTCAAACACTCACAAGGAAAAACGACCCAAGAAATTAGGCCCAATAGCTCCTCCCAACTCAGTCCAATAATGAGACCCAATGACATAAGTGTGTATGTGTACACTTTCAGACAACAACATCAAAAACATCAAACCCTAGCTACTTCTTTGTCCTTGACCTTGAAACCATCAGAAACGTTCATCGGAGAGAAATTACCAACAACAAAATCACTCATAGGATACGATTTATTATTAGAGAATTACGCATCTCTGACTTGGATAAACAATCAAGTGCTTTCACTTTACCATTGTTAATTAAATAACATTTTAGTAAAATCTTCTTGATTCCTTTCTTGTTAGCTCCTCTTGCTTATCTTAGATACTTTCCACTAAGTACAGAAAATAAAATTGAGACTCTAAACAAGAACAAGGTGATACTAGAATTGAACGGTAAATAGTACTCATACAAGTAGCAATAGTTTTTCAGTCATGAATGTTTTCTTTACTTATCGTTCAATAAATTTATGCAACTTAACTATACATACACCTTTTAAGGTCTTTCTATTTCAAGCAATGAGAATAGGTTGCAGGGTAAGGAATTAGTTCCAATTAAAGGGGCATCCAAACAGGGTAAGGAATTAGTTCCAATTAAAGGGGCATTCCAAACAATTTCTATGAAATAGTTAAGAACTTGTGTCATCTATAAGTTAGCATGTCCTTCCTGTTTTTAATTTAACACCTAGAAATGTTTCAATTTATGGCAAATGAGAGTCTTTATATCATCCTTAATTTGCAATTGAAGTTAAGAGTTGGTGCTACATTCAAGTTCACAAGGAGAACAAGTAAACAGATAAGCCACAGATGTAACTAATAAGAGAGATAATAGCTCATATTATAATTATATAAACAAAATAGAAGCTGGTTTAACATTACAAAGCTAGGAAATAGATAGACAGACGCTCTTTAGCTCAGAGGCCTGTCACAAATCCAGTGATGATATCACTGGATCATTTTAGCAAGTAACTTAAATAGAGATACTATTGGGAATTCCTTTGGCAGTAAGTCCTGGTTCGCTTGTCGGATAAAGCAATGTGTATGGCATCTTAACAGGGCCTGTCCTGTTCTTCCACTTCTTATAATTGTTCATCTTTGTAATATTTTCCTCAATTTGAGCCAGCTTCTTTCCAAACCTTTCAAAAGCTTGCAGAGCTTCTTTGTCCTTAGTCCATTCATCAGAATCCCTCTGACCAAGATAAATTTCATCTGAAGTATGTGTTGACAAAACCTCGAGAGCAGATATTCCAATAAGAGTCTGGAACTGGGGTGTTATTGTCTTCAGATATCCTTTTACAGGGTTCACCTTCAGCTCCTCATACTCAGGGGTCCCAGGCTCAGGAATAAGCCTTCGGCTCATACCAGGGCGATTTGGTGCATAGTCTCCATTTGGATACTTCCCTAAATTAACAGCTGCATGAAGAGCAGATGCCATCCAGATAATGATAGTCACTGAGTCGATCAGTTCTTGGCGTGTCTGCATTTTAGGCCACCAAGGCTCATCTTTCTTGTCACCATGTCCTACTTCGCGGAGTTCCTTCCACCAGGCTTGGAGTTCAGTGTCCTTCTGAAGCATGTCATCTGATTTGTAATACAAACTGATATATTCCTGTACCCAGCTTTTGATTGCTGACCAGATTTCAAGTCCATCTAGTCTTCAATTAGTAAGCGGACACCATGTTTGGATGAAGGATCTTCAACTGCCACTCCTCTGAAGAAAAACAGTACACAAAAAAAGCAGTATTACATTAGGAAATCATTGCAAAGAAGATAAACTAGCACAAGAAGTTGTGACTTACCTCTTAACAAGTTCAGCAGGGAGTGCTTGATCAGGGAAAACCCAGTCCCGGTAAGCAATAGATGTCAACTCCATCGACAATGGTCCAGGGAAAACAGTCTTCTCAACAATACCTCCAGCATTAAGCACAGCCTGTCGAGCCAAGGCATTGATATGCATAGTATCACGGAAGTGAGGATGCAAAAGCTTAGCTGCCTATTTGCCGCAATCACAAAAGGCTCAACTGATGCATGAGTACGTAACCTGTGAAGAACATTAGACTTGTGATCAAACGAATATTCAGTAACAGATTACACTACATGGACTTCAGCTAGTTTGAAATACCAGTGACTGAGAAGCTGATGAACTCCAGAATCATTAATTGCTACAAATGCCTTTGCAGTTCGCCACAAAGCACCCTCAACACCGTCTTCAGCTGGAGTGAATACTTTGCTAATAGCACCAAGTTGTTCTCCATCTGGATGAGGCAAGCTTAGTTCAATCGCCAGGGGATTCAAAGTACCGTCTTTTTGCAGAAAGAGCACACTTCTTGAGGCGTAAATCTTTGAATGCGATGTGTTAACTTTCCTCGCATATGGCATCACAATGTCATGGTAGTTCAGTATGAAAAGTCGGTTCACCTCCATGGCCTAAGAAGAAGAAAATATACATTTGAGTCAGCACTGACCAGATTAGTCAACTTGGAAGGATTTGCAAAAAACAACAAACAGTTAGTCACTTACCTCTTCAATGGTCATTCCATCTAGCTGATTCTGTATTTGTTCTCTGGTTATTTTGCTTGTTTGGTCACCAAAAGTTTTTGGATCCAGTTTGCTCGTGGGGGGGAACTCCTGTACCAAAAATGCAAAGAATGTAATCTACTCCATTCTTCAGATAATAGACAAGATAGAAGAATTGGACAAAGAATTGAAAGTTTTTACTTTTAGGCCAGTTATGCACACAGGGTTCAATCCAGCTAACGTCTCTTCCAAATTCTTCATCAGACATCCAAGCCGACTTATCCTCTGTTTCACCAATTTAAAATTTTAGAGAACACAACAAAAATTGAATTATTACAGAAATGAATCAACCGAAAGTCATCCAAAATTACCTCTAATAACATGTGGCGTTGGATACTTAAGAAATCCTGGAGATCCAGGTTCATACACTTTCAGTACATCTTCAAAGCTGTTGAATTCATTGAGAGTGAGATTTCCTAAAGAAGCAAGCTGAGGAGCAAAGACTTGCGCAATGGCTTTCTGTGCATTACTAAGGACATCTGTCATCTTTAAAGGCGAAAACTTTTCATCCCTCGGGACATAAATTGCAAAGCTAGCTATTTGTGGAAGCCGGCTTTCAGTGGTAGGTCTGTACAAGCAAGTGTAAAAATAAACAACTAGGGGTACATATCTGTATAGAGGTTTTACAAAAAGTAAAAATGGTTTTATTGAAAGACTTAACAGCCTTAGATGGTGGTCGGCCTGTTCTTCCTCTTCGCAGATAAGGATGCTCTACAGATCCTCCAAGGACTGGTCTGGCATAAAGTGGACCATTGTCTGGATCTCCAAGATCATTGTAACAATCATAGTCATAAACCCTGTCCCATTCTTGAAGCTTTCCAGTTCCATTTCCTCTCAACATTAGCAACTCTTCTTCTCTATACACGCGCAATGCTGCAGGAGTTTCACTAGGAAGCCAAGCCTGTTGCAAATCATACAAAGAAATCATCAAACGGAAAATGAGTAAATGATGTGATCTATAACACTAAATTTGAATCATTTTGCTTGTACCTGATTCACAAAGAAAATGCGGCCTGACTTATATTTCTCAGCAGGATAAACCCAAGAGTTGCATACAAATTGCACAGTGTCTTGACTTGGATCACTAGCTTCAAGAGTGAGTGACTTGAGATAGAATTCACTTGTATTAAAGTTCTTGATGATGAATGCACCTGGAGCTCCAAGAACTTCATGATCCCACTCAAATGTGACACAAAACTTCGATTCGCTGCCTGATTTGTTCTCATCTCTTAAATGTGAAGGATTCCCAAGCTTCCCTTTCAAAGTTTTTCCTTCAAGTGTATAAACATATGATTGTTAATCCACACATTCAATATAGTGACACACTAGCTACATAGTAACATAGAAACTGAAGTGAATTTTTTGTTGAAACTATATAACATATCATACCTTGATCTCCATGGACAGAGCTAACAAGCTGCAGGATGACCTTATGCCCAAGAATTTCATAAGTTTCATGTGGAGCTAACACTTGAGAAGAACCAAGGTCCAAAGGTGTCTTTTTCATGAGCAGAACAGTGCCATTGATCATTTTGATTTCACGTTTGTCAGTGGATGCCATTATCACTTTTGCAAAGTACAATAAGCCAATATTACAATAGAATGATCGACTAAGGATTTCTGATGAGGCTTGATAAAAAAAACAATAGCAGGTGCTCTGATTTTATAGGTAAAGACTGGCTAGTCTTATGTGACGATTGGAATCCAGTCAATCCACTTTCATAAATGTGGAAGTGTTGGAACTTGAATTTTAAAAAGACTCCTTAATTCCAAGTCACAATTACTTTGAACTTAATTTAATTACCAAAACTTGGTTAGTGTGTATTTACCAGGAGACATTTATCTTAGTTTACATTACAATTTACATGTGCGATTGAATATACACTCTAATAATAGTAAATTTATGCACCTAATTTATGGCACTAGCGACCCGCCGACCCTTTATACTTCGTGCTCTACGAATGAAAATTTTTCCATTTATTATCTTGAAGAATGGGAATTGGATTAGGAATGTTCAACTTGAATATTGATTAATCCCTTCTTCATATGCTACTGCAAGGAACTTGCAAGTAATACTAGCACTATATTTGTAATTATCTTTTTTTTTTTGAACAAATATTTTATAATTATTTCAAAGTAAGTTTTTTCATTCGTTTTTTTTAACTTTATAATTGGATATAGATGTCCTTTCCATTATTTCTCAAAGTAAGTTTTCTTAAACTTTTCCTTTCTTGTCTCCTGATAGGTCCTTGTGTTTAACGACTTTTAAATTGGTTTACATACCTTATTATTTTAAAAATACTTCATCAGTAATTTCACGTTATCTTTTTTCTCCACTTCACATTATTATTGGTCACACTGAAAGGTCATTAAATTTCAAGGACTTATTAATTAACAAAAAAAGAAAAGAAATTCAAGGAGTTATTATTACTGTAGTGTTCGAGGGCATATGAATGAGCATGTTTAGATATTTTTCTACTTTTTCCTGCATTTGAAATTCTTGAATTTTTACAGCGTTATGCAATTTTATTAATTTATAAAATAATAAAATTAAAGATGACGGGGCTCATGCTCTATATCTCGTGGCTTACCCTCACTCTACTAGGTGAAATGCCTAACCTTTTAAAAACTGGTATTTGTAAACCAAATTAAGCGGGGGAAATGGAATAGACAAATTAGATAAATATTTCATTAACTGTTTCATGAAATAATAAACGTACTGTTTACCAAATATCTGAATTGAAGGTCTATGCATATTAAAGTTAAATTCTTAGAAACAGTTTTCTGTAAGAAGAAAATATAGGCTTACCAAATTTAAAGATATAACTTATTGATGTTAAAAAATTATTAACCATTGCTTGAATAGTGACTTTTCACAATGTGCATATAGTAAATTACACTAAAGACTAATTTCTACAAAAACAAAATCAGAGGGACCTCACAGCTTGTTTGGACGGTTGTTACCCATTGTATTGTATCGTATTGTTACTTTAAATACGATATTTGTTTTGATTGTTACTTAAATTTTATTGTATCATATCGTTAAATCCGTCGTTACATAACGACGAAATGTGCCATGTTATGTAACGACTGATTTGGTGTGGACGTGTCATTACCTTGTCTTTTTCTCTCAATCTCACCCTTCATTATTATTAAATAATTTTATTTTATCATTTACCCTACCTTTTTATATAATAATTTTACCCTGTATCATAATTTTTCTTTATAATATTGCAAGTTTATTCTTCATATTGCTGGTGCGTAATATCATGAAACGATGACAAACGACACAATATATCCAAATATTGTATTTATCAAACGATACAGTATAATACAATACAGTACGATACATGAACCATCCAAACAAGCTGTCAAAGATGTGTCTCTTGACAGCTTTTTGTTTTTCAATATTCCATTGTGTCTGCATGTAAATTTTAATTTAAGATTATTCCTGTGCTTGTAAGCGAAACAAATATACCAGTACAACAAACCGCACCTTTTGTTCTTATGAATATTTAAGTATACAACCGATGACCTTTTGTTCGAATGAACATAAGAAAAATGTTCCGAAGTCTCACACAATACAAAGATAAAAGGAAATAATTATTACCAAAATTCTTCTGCATGGCAATTAAGCTGTACAAAGCCGAGTACATATTAAAATTAATGTAACCACCAAGTAATTATGACCCTTAACTGAAAAAAATACGATGGGATCAATCAAACAATGACTACATGCTATACACAATTCTGAGTCAGAAGTACAACAAGATCTAGAGAATAACTAGACCTTTGTCTCTTAGCTTTTCATGATTCAGCTTGGTGACTTTCTTTCTTTTGGCGCGACTTGTGGTGGATCCGGGGAAACAGTAGATCATTGAGTTGTCTTTCAGCACTATACTCTGACGAGGCCTGCAAATACAACATTCTATTACCTTTTCTCGGATATCGGGTAAAGAAGAAATGCTGGCACTAAAGAATACAGTTTGTCTTCAAGGTTTCTAACTTTTCTCTTGCTGAAGAACTAAGAACAAAAAAGGACTACCTTTGGTAGTAGAACATATGATTCCCTAAAAGCTAAAACCACGATAGTTGATAGTTTAGATGTTGAAGACATAGTTAAGTAAACAAAAATGTGCTTTCTCTAATAATTTAAGGTTTTAAAATAAAGTGGTGGCATACTTCACAATTCACATTCGTATTAGAGCAATGCAGAAGTCTTACATCCAAGTCTCACCACCACTTTCAACAACAACAATTACTACGCTTCAGTCGCAAACAAGTTGAGATCGGCTATACCAATTCTCACTGACCATGTTTCTCACCGCCACCCTTCGCTGAAAAGAAAATCGTACGTGTTTGGCCAATAATAAAGTATCAGGCATGCTCGTGAGGGTACACCGTTAAGACATAAGTGTGCCTCTTTAACAGCCTAAGCCAAAACTTTTATGGCGACTAATTTCTGGCACCCACTATACAGAGCCTGTTTGTCAGGTTCATGTCAAAGACTTTGATCCACCAAGGAATTCATTTACAAAACAGTTGGCATGTAACAAGACTAGAAATTAAAGATGGGGTCCTGAAAATCTTAAGAAGCAAAAGTACCAAAATGTCTTACCCGCTTTCTAAATGAAAACCGCAGTGTTTGGACTTGTGTCCCAGAGCAAACTCTCAAGTCAAAACCAAGGCTGTCCACACCAATCAGAGACACCTCCTGCCACAAATCACAACAAGAAACTCGAGATGAATTCCCCAGTGAGCGTCATACGAAATGGAAGAACTAGGTTCGATGTATAAGACACCTTTCCCATCATAATCTCAGCCAAGTGCTGAGCACTCGTATTTCCAAAATGTGAATACATAACAGAACTGAAATTCGTCTGTTTCAATTCCAAATGCTGACTACAATATTAGACATTGTTATCAGGAGAAAAGGATTATCTGAGGACGTTTTATCTTCCAGTAACATGTTCATGTTTCTGTTTTTATCTTATCTTATCAAAATTTTCTCCAGCGCAGGAGAAAGGGAGGTTGAGTTGCATGGTTTGTTCTATTATCTAGAATGAAACAGGTAAACCAATCCCTGGGTTCGTGGGTTGTATAGCAATGAATTCTGAGGACAGAAAAACAAGTAAATCTACTGATCTCAGGGAAATCTTGGAATCTCTTATTACAGGTGAAGGGCCATACCTCCACCTGAATTCCCTTGCATCTCCAACAGAGAGATCTAAGAGCCTGTGTAGTCTTCTCTCCAGCAGCTTTAAGCCGAGATATTATTTTGGCAGCTGAATGTGCTATTGCATCAGGCCTAGCTCTCCTAAAATCATCTAACTCAACAAAGATCTGTGAGCACCAAAATAGAAAACATAAACTTGGTAATCCCTGAATAATGATAAATATGTTAACCGGAATCCCACAAGCACAAAATGGTCAAAGAATTTAGATAAATAATAAAATAATATTCCATGGATCTTGTCTACAATGAGTTTCAAGATGACCAAAATAATTATTGTGGACACAGAACTAGCACTATATAAACTGAGATACGCGCAGAGTGAAGAATGGAATGTTAACCAACAGCGTTCAAGGTTGAGCCTCATAAAACCTACACACATTACCTGATTCCCGTTGGAAGAAATTAACTGAATTTTGATCATCTCTAGCTTGTAAAATGAAGTTCCATTTCCTAGGTTCTCATCCTTCTCCAATTCTGCCCAGCTTGGGCTATCTTGTGATGATCCACTCTCATGTTTGTGGCCATTTATTTGAATACCGCCCTTTTCTTTGTGGTCTTCATCTTTTTCCATCTGGTTTAAGTCAGCATCACTCAGCCTATGTTCAGATATCTGCTTTTGAATAGTAGTGTGCTCTTCAAGGAAGGACGGCCTTAGAACGCCTTGTATAGCAAGACCTGCAGGAGGCTGGTCCATAAAATCTATAGGATCATCTGTCACAACCTGAGCAGCAAAGTAGACCACAAAAGAAATGGGTTAAATTACCAATTAAATAGCAGAGTACAACAACAACAACAACAACCCAGTATAATCCCACTAGTGGGGTCTGGGGAGGGTAGTATGTACGCAGACCTTACCCCTTCCCTAGGGCAGAGTCAAAAGATATAATGTCAGCACGGCATGTGCATGTGCCGAAAATTGAATGTAATGATGTGCTAATTTCACTTAATAGGAAGCCAATTTGATGACTCTCTTAAATTTAACTTTGACTTTTCATGGCATGAAATCAATGATGTGGAAAATCACCTCGGCAATCTTTTTGGCAAAATACATTGGATGAGAAGAGCGCATGGTTTCTAATTTAGCCCAGTCTCCCAATGACCCATCAGAATCCCCATCCTGATCTTCATCATCAAGAATGGCAACCCAATCCTGTGAACAAGCATTTTAACTGATGTTTATAAATGGAAAGTGCAGTTACTCACATTCTAAAAAGTAAAAAGTTGAAATAAGTAAATACCTTGTCATAGTCATTGTCATCTTCATCACCATCGTCGTCGTCATCTTCATCGAGGTCATCTTCGTCATCAATATCACTGTCCTCATC